AGAAGAAATTGAATTGACAAATAGAAAGTCCATTTTTGAAAAACCACACAACGACCATTATACTTTGTGGAGAAAAAAAAGTAATATATTTCCCTTTAGATCAGGAACAAAACAAGAATTTCCACTTTCCTACTTTTTTTTTTATTATAATGGATGCATAGTAACCATGACAGTGTGGTACAGGCATAAAGATAGTCATATAGATTATTTGGAAAGATTGGACAGTCCAGAAATAAGCCCTAGAGTCATGTGTGGTAGTGTTTGACCACAATCCCAGCTGCTTGGGAGACTGAGGCAGGAGCCTAAGAAGGTTGAGGCCGTCCTGGGCTACACAATGACACCTTGGTCTCAAAACACAATCAAACAAGCAGAACAAAATAAGCCAGAAACAATTCCTATATTTCTGTATTTACATGGCCAATCAAAGTTTGAGTGAAGCTTAAAACCAGTTTAATAGAGAACTGTTTGTTTTTTTCAACAAATGGGAATTCTGGAAAATACATGTGCAAAAAGCAGAAGAAAAAAAAGAGAAAAGAAGCTTTTCTTTTTCTCTCTACTGGGCTAGGTCACGGTTCTCAGATCTTTGATGAAACATCAATCCAGATGTTGTTAAGATTCTTTTTACAACTAATAATAAAAAAAAATTTAAAAAAATATAAAATAAATAAATAAAATCCAGCTCCCAAGGAAGGAATAGTAAATATATATATTCTTTTTAAAGATGAGATTTGCTTAAAATCAATTAAAAACCTTCATAAAAGCAGAATACCTTCTAGAATGTTAGTAGGCCCCATTTAGTGGGTTCCAGGTTTTAAGAGAAAACTTCTGAGATCCTTCAGGAAGAAGGAATTTTGCAATGTTAACTATCCTTGAGTCTCCAGTCTGCTGGTCTGCCTGGAGGAATCACCTGAAAAAATTCTTGAAAATAAATCTTTTTTTGTTCATTTATATCCTATTTGTTCTGCTGCCTTCATGATCCTGATGAGTGCATCTTCCTTACTCCACAAGCAACACTTAACTCAAAATGAATCATAGATCTAAATGGAAGAAATACAATGAAAAAAAAAAAAAACTTGGAATAAATCACAAGTATAAATCTTTGTGATTCTGAGGAGGCCACAACTCCAAAGGCATGGGTCATTTAACACTTGATAATGAGATTTTTATCAAAATTAAGGCATTTAGGAATGCAAACAATAGCATAAGGAAAGCAAAATAATAATAATAATACACAGAAATTGATGTAATATTTGATAAATATATGGTACCAAGAATATATTAAAAACTTATAAATCTCAATAATAAAATTATAACCCAATTTTAGAAATGGCAAAAAATCTCAATAGACACTTTTCCGAAAAAGATATATAAATAGACAACAAGCACCTGAAAAGATGCTTAATGTCATTAATCAGAGCAATGCACATCAACACTAGAGTAAGATTGTATTTCATTCTCATTGGAGTGACTATAATCATGGAAATAGACAACAATATTTTGACAAGGATTTGGGGAAATTGGAACAACCATATCTTACTGGTGGGAATGTGCTACATCACACGATCTTTGAAAAACCACTGGAGACTTTCTCATAATGTTAATAGAAATTCTACTTCTATGTACAAACCCAAAAGAAATCATCCAAATGTGAAAACAACCCAAAAGTACATCAAACAATTAATTCAAAAACAAAAAGTATGTATTCTTAGAGTATTATTCATCAAAACAATTTAATGATCCACTGATACATGCTACAACTTGGATTACCTTTGGTAACAATCTTCATGATAATGAAAATTAGACTAAAAATATCATATTAATTATTCTATCTATATAAAATATTTAGAATAGGCGAATCCATAGAGACTAAAGGTAGATTAGTGTTTGCCAGGGATTAGAAATGACTATATGGATGTAGCTATTACTAGGTAGTTGACTTCTTTTTGGGATGATGAAAATATTCTTAAATTAGATTGTGATAGTTGCCCGGTTCTAGTACTATGTTAAAAACTTTACCCTTTAAAGCGGGAATTTTATGCTATATGAATTATATCTTGATAAAGTTACAAAACACTGGATGGGCAGGTATCAATGGCTTTGATTTGGACACTATGTTTTAATACACTCAGTTCACCTATACAGATGTCAAAATGTATGCATAGTAGACTGCTACTGAGAAGAGAGATCAAAGCTAAAAATATAAATTCAACACCATCATCATATTGCTAGACTTTAAACCTGGGACTAGTCATAGTCTTCTAGTTTGTGTTTGACAAGTTTTTTTTTTCTTTTATGGACAGAAAAAAAGATAAACACATACACACACACACACACACACACTCATTAAGTTGACTCTTCATATCTGTGAATTTTTTATCTTAGGATACAACAAATCGCAGATTAAAAATATTTGAAAAAAGTTAGGCTTGTGCTGAATATATAATTTTGTTCCTTGCAATTATTTATTAGTTAATATATCATAACAATTATTTTCATTACACTTGCATATTGGATATTATTATTTTATAGTAATATATAATATAATAATATATTACTATATATTATTGGATTTTATAAGTAATCTAAAGTGATTTAAAGTTAGCTAGAGTATTATTCATGTGTCTGTAGATAATATGCAAATACATTTTTTGTACCAAACATTGAACCCAGGGACACTTTACTGCTGAGCCACATTTCCAGCCTTTTTTTAATACGTTATTTTGAGACATGGTCTCACTAAGTTGCTTAGATCCTCCTGGCTAAGTTGCTGAGACTGGCTTTGAACTTGCAATCTTCCTGCTTCAGCCTCTGGATCTACTGGGATTATAGACATGTGCTGCCATGCCTAGCAATACTATATCATCTTTTCTAAGGAACTTGAACATGTGTGGATTTTGGTAACCATGAAAGGTTCTGGAACCAATTCCTGGTGGACAGAGGGATGGCTGTGTACACACTCAAAAACTGAGGCAAAATAAAAATATCATATAGGTACTGAAATATTATTGATGGAATGACAAATATAATGATAATTAGGTTTACTTTTTTGAAATATGGATGAACTATAAAAAATGGAATCTTCTGGTAGATAATATTTCATTTCTTTGAAATTAAAAATTATTGTTCTCTGTCCTCACACTCAATGGCAAATATTCATCTCTTAATTCTAACCTGAAATGAGATTTTTCATGGCTTAGTTTTGAGATTTTTTTAAAAAAATATTTATTTTTAGCTGTAGTTGTCAATACCTTTATTTATTTATTTTTATGTGGTGCTGAGGATCGAACCCCAGGCCTCACACATGCTCATAAATAAAGTTCACCAAATACAGATAATCACCTATGAACATACAATTTTAATGGAGCATATTTATTGCTTGAAAAGCATTTATAGAATGCTATTATTCTTCTCTTGATATTTAACTTTCAGTATGCCCTTACATTGCAAATTATCTCTAAACAAAAGTTAAATGGAAGTTCTTCAATTGCTTAATTTAATGGATTCAAAATACATTTCTTTTGCACTTGCATTGATGTATGAATTCCAGAATAATTGAAATTATACTTTGAAGTTAGAAATCAAATAAATCTATAAATATCTTTTGCACAATTTGTGAGTGTGTGGAGACTGCTTTTCTTCTTCAACTTTGCCCATGAAATGTACCAAGCGGCTTGCTGTTGCTTCAATTCAAGCAACATTTGACATGATGGCAGAGATCATTTCCATAGGGTCCATACTTGGAAGTGTCCAGCACTTAGTTTAATGCACTGCTGACAGAATCCTGAAACTTTTAATATTACTTTCTTTGAACTTTAAATAAATGAAATATTCATGTCTTCTGTTCCTTGTCATCCCATCTGCCTACAGTAATCACAATACCCCCAGAGCATCAGGTATAATTTTTGTAATATAGGTCAATTTATTTAAAAAAAAGGAATCTTTTGGAGGCTATTAGTTCATCTCTTTCCTATTAAAAGTGATTTTCACTAGCCTCAAAATTGAAAACATCCATCTCAATACTGACCTGAAATAAAATTTTTCATGTTTCAGCTTTGAAATGTCTTTGCACACATGTAGAATTTAACAACTACTGATATTAGCCTGTGAACATTTGATTTTAATTGCATTTATTTATTTATTATTTATTTATTTATTTATTTATTTATGGCACCAGGGATTGAACCCAGGAGCACTCTACCACTGAGTGATATCCCCAGCATATTTTATTATTATTATTATTTCTATTTGGACACAGCATTTCACTAAGTTGCTGGTCACAAACTTGCACTTCTCAAGCCCCAGCCTCCCTAGTAGCTGGAATTATAGGCATGGCACCACTATGCCTGGCTAGTGTATCTGTGGTTTGTACCTGTGATGCTTGGACTCTGACTGGATCTAAAAGCAATTAGGAGACAAGTGTGTTATGTATCTGTGGTTTGTACCTGTGATGCTTGGACTCTGACTGGATCTAAAAGCAATTAGGAGACAAGTGTGTTATGCTTACAACTTAATGGAAACACAATGCAGATAAGGGTTTCATTTGCCGTTCAAAATAGAACCTGCATCCAGGCCCTGGCATTCAGAGAAATACAAATGACCAAGGAAGCTCATCATAGCCTCCTTTACTCAGGTCACTTTCTTGTTTTAGCAACCACTTACACAAAAACATGATGACACTAAAGGAGGGGCAAAGATCAGGTAAACCACACTTTCATTTCGAAAGTAGTTTTGGCAGAAGGTTGAGTGTATCAGAAGGTCTAATATTGAGTTACTCTTTTGCAGTGTGTTTTAGTTGGGGTTCTGCTAAGGAACAGAACTAGGAGAGAGAGAAAGGTGAGAAAAGATTTTTGTTTTTTTTATTTTTTTTTTCATGTTGATTGGATTAATTTAATCCCACAATAGTCCTCAATGGGGTCCGTGATTATGCTCATTTATAGAGGTGGGGGAATTGGCCAGCAGCACAGCCCGGGGTGGGAGTGGGGCCTGGGGCCCAGCCCTAGTACAGTGGCCCCAACATCCCAAGTTTCTCCTTTGGCAACCTTCTTCCACAGAAAGGTGGTGGTGCTCTCCTGCATTCGGTCAAAGCCAAAACCCAACCAGCCGTCAGGATCATGTACCGCTCGGTGAGCTGCGCAGGATAGGCCAGACTGCTGGGGTGACGAGGGGAGGGGACCGAGGACGTTTGAGGCTCCAAGGGCGATGGGTCACTTAACCCTGACAGGCAAGTCCTGCGAAGGCCTTCATCAGAGCTGATGTAGCAGCCAAGCTGGGAAGGGTCCTCCCGCTCTCATGTCCCCTCCAGCAGGCTCGGCTGGGTCAGAATCACTTCTTGCCCATTTAACATTGACAGTCAAAGATTCACTGGTGACTCTTGTCCTCAGAGGATACATCCCAGCTTCTGCCCGTCTTTTCTTCTCCAAAGCCTGAAAGTTTCCTGGGGCTTAAAATTCTCCATCCAAGTTTATTCTTTGTTTGATGGAGACAGTGACACATTTTTACAAGGCTGTAGGGCCACTCCCTGTTTTATGTGGGGTTAGGCCTCCAGAAAGGCTTCTGTATTAGTCAAGGGGGCAAAAGTTTATGTTGACTTCAGAGGTGGTGCCCAGGGAGTAGTGAACTATTTGGAAGACACAGAGACAGGTCCTGTGGCAAGGCACAGCTGTGCTAGGGGTCACAGGGCTGACCTCAGATGCCCAGTGTCCAGTCACCCATAGGTCTAACTCCCCTTGGCTTTTCCATAGGCCAAGAGTGGCCTGAAGGGAATGCAGAGCCTACTGCTGTACAAGGTAAGGCCATCAATGATGGACGGCAATGCCCTGGGAGGGAAGAAGGAGGGGCCTCCAGTCCTGCATCCTCTTCCTAGGATGGGGACTCTGGCCTGCACAGGGGAGGCTCCCTGAGGACCCCAAGCCTCACCAGCCGCTCAGATCGCCTGCAGCAGCGCCTGCCTATCACCCAGCACTTTGGACAGGTAAGAATGTGCTTCCCAGGCGCACACCTGGAATTATCACCAAATCCTCCACCCCGCCCCCACCCCAGTCTCTGCCTGAACATCTCGCCTCACTCCTCACATACACCAAAATTTGGTGCTCACTTCAAACGCACCCTCCTCCAGAAAGCCCCAGCCCCCTGATTCTGCAGCTCCACATCACTGCCCTCTTCACATCCGTCTTTTGTAGAACAGACCCCTTCGCCCCAGCAGGAGACTTAAGCCAGAAAAGGGACTTTCTGAGCCCCTGGGGGAGAGGTAAGACTCAAGGGGGACCAAGGTTGGAAGTGGAAGACCAGGATGGATCAGAAGGCTCTCCAAACATTAGAGCAGACCAACCAGGGCGGAGATCTCAGGAAACTTGGGGTGCCCTTTCTCACCCAGGACACCTCCCCTGAGCCCTGAGGATGCCCAGGGTCCATGGGCAGAAGAAGTTCTGGACAGCAACTTTTTGGGGTCCGGAGAAGAACTGGATTTGCTGAGTGAGATTCTAGACAGTCTGAGTGTACAGACTAAGAGCATGGGCAGCCTGAGGCCAAGCCAGAGCTTAGACTGCTGTCACGGAGGGGACCTGGACAGCTGCTTCAGCCTGGTGAGAGGGCCCCCACCCCCCCACCCAATCTTTCCCCAACTGCCTGTCCAACCTGCCAGCTCTTTCTCATCAGCAGGTCAGCAACCTGCTCTCTCCTCCCATGCCCCACCCAGCCTGACCTACCAGGAAGAACAAGATGGCAACCAGATGAAGAGAAACTGCCAGAGCCCCAGCCCCTGTCCCTGCCTGCAGACCTGTCATCGCTTCAAAACACACCATCATTGGAAATCACATGCTCCTCAAAGAACCCCAATTCCCAGCTGCTCTCAGGCTCCAGCCAAGAAATCATCTCTCCATCCCAGCTTTCAACAGCTTCTACAGACACAAGCAGCCCAGGGGACCCCAAGTCCTCTCCTCTCACTGAGCCCTCAACCCTTCGTCTCTCCCCTCTTCAAAAGGCGACTGAGCACCCTACAGCCTGGGAGATCCCTTGCACCAGGCTCTCGGAGGCAAACACCCAGCCCAGCCCTCCAAAAGGTCCCCAACTTCTAGCCCCAATGGAGCCCAACTTTGATACTGTCAGGACATCCCAGTCCCTCAAGTCTTCCCCAGACCCCAGTTTTCCAAAGAATCCCAGAACCCAGCCTCCCAAGGTCCTGCTACAACATGCTCACTTCCAGTCCCCCGAGGAACCAGGAACCCCCAACACCCTGACCTCACCCACCAGCGACTGGCAAGAGCCCCAGGCCAGGAAGAGGCCCCGAGTTGCTGATCTTAAGAAGTGTTTTGAGGGATAAGGATCAGGGGTCTGGAGACCCTGGATCCTCAATAAAGCCACAAGAGCCCAAAGTTGGTCTGTCCTGGTGAGTTTATGGGGGGGCCTACTCTCTGCTCAGAAACCCACCTACCCCCACCCGCCCTCCAGGGGCAGCCCTTCTGGCTCCTAGGTGCACCTAAAAGCCACTCTCTTCCAAGAAGCCCCCTCACGCCCCTAGGATCCCCATAACCTTACAACTCACGGCTACCTTCATCTCTCCATCTAGGCTAATGTCCCCACCAACTCAAAAAAGCTTTATTACATCTCACTACCAATTTTACATAAATGTATAAAAAGTGAGCAGCCCCCCACCCCCTGCCCCCAGGAGCCAAGTCTCTGAAGCACCTTCTTCCCTTCTATTCTCAAGTACTGGGTGAGTCTCATTGCCTAGAGAGGTCACCCCTTCCCCAAGGTCACACAGCAAGGAAGCGAGATGGAGGAAGGGAGGGACCTAGATGGGCAGGCAGCCCCGCACCTTCTCCTTGGAGTCCTGGGGGGCTTGGGCCTCCGCTGCGTGAGAGAACTGCTCCTCGCTGCTGGGCCGGTAGGTGCCCTCTGTCTGCCGCTTCTCCCGAAGTTTCCGTACCAGTAGCACCAGCCCCACGGCCAGGAGCAAGGCAGCCAGGATGGAGAAAACCACGATGATAGCAGTAATGGCCTCCTGAGACAGACCCCCACTGTGGCTGGGGACAGAGGGCGTGACAGTGCCATTCTCCGAAGTGTTCAGTGCTGTGGAGGCTTGCCCCCAGGCTCGGCCCAACAGGGCCGGCAGCAGCGGCAGGCCGAGCGCCAAGAGCAGCCCCAGGGCTGGGGTCGCCATGGGCTGGGCGACGGGTTGGCGGCGCCGGGCCCGGGCTTCTCGCGCTCGCCGCTCCTACCGCATCTTGGGCAGAGGGTACCTGAGACCCAGCACCTGGCCGGACGTCTCTGACCTCCGAGAAAAGATTTTTAAAGGGAATGAGCCTACTTGAGTATGGAGGACGAGAAGGTCCAGGATAAGTTAGCTGTCAAATGAAGAGCCAGTGAGTCTGGTAGGGTGATTTCAGTCCAAGTTCAAGTGCCACAGAACCAAAGAAGACAAAGAGTTAGTGGTGTAACTCTCAGTAAAATACCCAAAGCCTGAGAACCTGGGGGGGTGGCGGGGTACAAGTCTCAGAGTGAAAAAGCTGAAGAATCTTGAGTTGTGATGTCATTTTGGCTCCACAAGACAGAGAACAAGAATTCATCCTTTTCCCTCCTTGTTGTGCCTGTAGCTCTTTGGATGGTGCTTACCCACACTGAGTGCACCCAGTCTACTGACCCGCATGACAGTCTCTCAGAGAAATACCCTCAGACACTCCTACAGGAGCTCAATTATTCTAATCCAATGACAGACCTCCTGAGTTTCCCTTTCAGCAAAAGAGGGATAGACTCAATGTCTATTGAAGCTTTGAGAAAAAGCAATGCTTTACCAACTCTCTAGGTATCTCTTAATCCAGGCAAGTTGATACCCAAAATCCACCATGACAGAGTGTTTCCACTGCTCTGGCACAAATAGAATATGTGCATAGAAGAGCTACAAAATACGCACTGGGTGATTTTGGTAATTTATATATGAGTTAAGTCCTCTTCTGTATCGTTTTCTGGTATTGATCCATATAGAGAGTAGTGCAAAAATTTATTTGCAGTGTGCCCAGTAGCAGGGTGCAATAATAGATGTATCTTATATTGCCGCTGTTGCAGCTTTTCAACACAACACCACTTCATCTGTGGTGGTGCTAACACCACCACAGAAAGGAATTAAACTAAAGAGTACAGGGTTTCCAGTGAAGCTTTACTTGTGGATTCTGAAATTCAACTTTTAGGTATGATAGAATGATTCTCTGTTTGGTTTCCTTTCCTTCTTTTTTTTCATTTAAAGCATAAAAACCTTTTTTTTTTTTTTTTTTTAACTTGTGGGTCACACAAAAACAGGAGGCTGCATGGATTTGGAACAATCTTTATGCCACATTTTGATATGGTTTGGATGTCCCCCGAGGCTCTGTATTTTGAAATTTAACTTCCTGTCTCTTGCCATGTGGAATGTCCATCACCGGATGCCACATTCTAGTCCTTGCACCTCCAAAACCATGGTTAAAACAAACCTGTTTTGTTTATGAACTTTCTCAGCCTCAGTTATAACCTTATAGTAATAGGAAGCAAACTAATATACTTTTTATACTATGAAAGATATTGATTCCAGGCCAAGTTATGTCTTACCTCAGAACTGATATTTCAATCAGTGAGTATCATGTTTTTCCATCTTCCCAATACAGCATTCTTACTGTATTTCTGGGGTTTCCTCTAGATTCTAGTGAATATCAATTAATTTGTGGAGAAATGAAATATTGCTTGTATATTTGGGGGGATTTTCTGTGTTCAGACAACATATTATGTTGTCTCAAAAATATACTTCTCTTACTTTATTTTCATTACTTATTTCTGCTCTTGTTATATTGTATTGGTTTGGACCCCCTGTAAATTTTGAGTGAACATAGTAGTGCTGAGGATTTTTTATAGTCCCCAATGTCAACAAGAAGTCTCCATGTCTCAAAATAAATATTAAAATTAAAAAATATATATATTTGTGATTTAAAGTAATTATTAAAATTTAAAAATACATTTGTGATTTAATAAAAATACAATTTTAATTATACAAAACAAAGCAAAAATAATGTTAAAATGAAAACATAAAATGACAATCAAATGCCCTTTAAGATGCTTATACAATGTATTGCTCTTATACTTAAGTGACATGTGGCTATATGTTTTGTTCTTTTTTTTTTTTTTTAATATTACTGAGGATTGAACCTACAGGTCTTCAATCACTGAGATATATCCTCAGCCTTTATTTTTATTTCATGAGACAAGCAGTCTCTTAGTTGCTCAGATTGACCTTGAAATTGTGATACTCCTATTTCAGCCTCCCAAATCACTGGGACTATAGGTCTGCATTACCACACCCAGCTGACAATGTGTATTTTTGCATAACTCTATATTTTGCATATAAAGATATTTCCTCAAAACTTTAAATTGTAGAAAATGACATTTTTCTTTCAGAAGGAATCTTTAATTTATATTGTCATTTAGAGCTCTACTAAAACAATTATCATCTCCCCAGTTGGGACTTTCCTGTTGATTGCCATTCATTTATAAGCATCTTAAATTAATCTTTTCATTTGTATGCCTATGTGATAATTGTCTGCATCTTTCAACCAAGTTCTTTGGGACTGGGAACTGTGTCTGTTTTATTCATGGCTGAAGAGTTACAGCCACTTTCCTAATATGTAGAATAGTACTTGGCCTTTGGTGAGTATTCAGTTTTTATTTGTGTGCAAATGAGAATAAATAATTTACCTAATTGGAAATATGCAAAGTTACTTTAAAGCATGGAAATAATTGTTAAGTTACTAACCTTTCTAATCAAATTTATTAAAAATCATTTGCCAATATATATAGAGAGCTAGGAAATTCTAAATCACAGCAAAGGTGACCACGTACTATTCAAAAAGATTGTTACATAAGGATTTAGCAAATCCCTACCAAGAGGCAAAGCCGTTTTTAGCCACAGGAATGGAGATAAGCAGGTGAGTAAATCTAATGTGTCTCCGTTGTAGAGCTATTCATCCTGCAAACAGGGCCTTTTTAATATTCATTAACCACTTTGCAAGGATTTTCATGTTGTTATCTCTATATGCTGTGAATGAACATCTAAAATTTCTTTTAAATCTTTTTATTTCCTCCTAATTCTGTGCTGACAAGTCCATTATCTGAGTATGGATTATCACTGCAAATATATGTATTTACAGTGGAAAAGTGTTCTGATGTTATACTAAAGTAATCATGCTCCTCGAGTTCCTATGTGTGAGTGTTTGTAGAACAATACTCACTCTGGAAAACTTTCATTGCTTTCTCTACCTTCCATTTCACACAATCCCCACCAAAAACAATTCTTCATTAAACAAGTATAAAGTGGCTTTCCATCATACACCTGGGCCATTCTCTTCATCTTGGAGATTCTGGCCACAGTGTAGAGAACATACATTAAAAAGTGATTTCAGCATTTTTAACCTTTTTGTTTTCTTTCTTTGTAGTGCATCTTTGGGAAATTTTTTATAGAGACTTCAACTATGAATGACTTCCTGAGAGAAATCTATGTGGTTGGTGTCAAGAATATGTCCATGATCTTGCTCCTAATTGGGAGACACTTTCCCCTGGCTGCCATTTAGAAATACAAGCAGAAACCAGACCAGAGGTCAAGTAAAGTAACATTGAGAATCAAGACTGGACAAAAGGAGCCCTTAAAGATGAGATCATCCTAGCCAAGTGTGAACCAGCAATGTTTTGGGACTACCCTCATACATACTGAAGGCATGACATTTCTTTTATATGATGAATATTTCTTTCAGAGATCATTAGGATTTCATATTCGGTATGGTGAGCATTTTTTTTCTGTTAGCAGATATTTCAAATTGTGATAAAAGTGTCCTACAAAGTCATGAGAGATACATGATTAAAAAGCATATCATTCTGTTATCCATATGTGTCACATGGACTTACAAATATTTCTGTATTTGAAGTTCTGTCAGCTTAAGAAAGTATATTTCTGTAGCTCAAGAAACTAAAAATTACAAAAATTATCAAAGGTCATAGTAGTATGGTACATTGTATGTTTGCAAATGACCATAACAGATATTATGTCTGTGGCAATGGAGTCCAGCCTTTCTGAGTGTGGAACCCCATGGGATACAATTCTTGCAGGATACCACTGTCATGTGCAAGTGGTAAGAAGGTTCTTCCTGGGTATGGATAGCTCCCTCCACATCACAACTCAGTCAGAATCTCTGATATATAAGCTCAATGAATAAGTTAGTTGCCAGTGGTATCCTGGGAAGTTGAGAATATTGAACCTAGTATTTAAGAAAACAAAATGCCTAATGTTCATATCTATGCATTTAGAAATCTGTGCAAATTTAGTATTTTACATAATTCAAATTTTTAAGTGAAATCAGCC